ACACACACACACACACACACACACACACACACACACACACACACACATATGCAGACTGGGAAGATGGTACATTGGTAAAAGTGCTTGTTGTACAAGCATGATGACCTAAGTTCAAATCCCAGTACCTTCCTAAAAAGCCAGACATATAGAAAGGTCTGTAATTTCATTGTTCATTCAGGGAAAATAGAGATAGAAGCTCAGAAGCCAGCTAGCCTGGTGAACACACAGCACAGAAACGACAAAGAGATCCTGTTTCAAAGCAAGACAGAAAGTGAGAACTAACACTTTGGATTGTCCTCTGACCCCCACACCCTTTCAATGCTCCTCCCCACACAAAAATGCACCAGTGTGCCACACCAAATGAAAATTAGGAAATGGTCAGACATGGTGGTGCAACAAAAAATAGAAGGAGTAGAAAGAGAAAATCACGATCATTATAGACAACACAGGAAGTAGCTACCAACATAGTAGCCTTGATTCTGCCTATTTGTCAATCAAGCCTTAAACTTGTTTAAAACCTTTTGCCCTTGGTGAGATCGGTTGCTTAAAGACAACACTGAGAAACACATCAAGAAATGATTGCTAGAAAGGCAATTTATTTCCAGTTTTCCTTAGTTCTCAATCAAAAGATTATTGGTACCTTTCAGTTGTTGCTTTTTATCCATGAGACTAGTACAGACTTTATAATTAATGAAAAATTAGATGGTTCATACAGTCTGGAGGAAATAGAGAAAATAATTCAAAGAGGTTAAAAAAAGAAAAAAAAAAAGCCCACTCAAATTCAGTAAGACCTGTAACAGGTGGCCTGGAAAGATGGCTCAGTGGTTTAGAGCACTGTCTGTTCTTCCTAGAGGTCCTGAGTTCAATTCCCAGGACCACATGGTGGCTCACAACCATCTACACAGAGGTCTGATGCCCTCTTCTGGCAGGCAGGTGTACTTGCAGATAGAGCACTCATTTACATTAAATAAATAAACCTTTAAAAATTGATCAATTATTAAAAAACAAAACAAAAAGACCAGTTAATAAAATGGCCAAAATACATTGTGGAAAGTAGACAAGCAAGGCTTCTATTTTTATGTCACTTAGCAACAGATGTCTTTTCTGAGCTCAAGCTCCAGCAGGATGTGACAGACATCACTACAGGGAGAACCATCTTGCATTCTAAATTTTGTTTGTAATTGTGGAGATTCCAAATGTTCCAAATGTTCAACTAGGAACATTTAATCTGCAATGTAATAACATATTAAAACCCCACTATATAGCTGGACAATGGTGGCACATGCCTTTAATCCCAGTACTCAGAAGGCAGACGCAGATGGATCTCTGAGTTCAAGGCCAGCCTAGTCTACAGAAAGAGTTCCAGGACAGTCAAAGCCACACAGAAAAATCCCATCTGAAAGAAAACAAAAAATGAATGTAATTATATACTTTCCCAATGAAAACATATACTTGAGGATTGATATCAGTTTTAGTAGTGCTTATGTTTATGGAGATGCTCCTCAAAGAAGAAATAAGATTTCATTATCATAAATGTTTGCAATCAATTTAGATGATAGGAGTGAGCAGATGGTCCCCAAAATAAACCACACCTGCACTGAAGATGCTAAAAGGGTAAATGACCAGATTGAACTTAGTGACTGTGAAGAATTACATGTTGAGGACCCAGAGCCTAATCACCTGGAGCTATTTTGGGTCCCCTTGAAAGACATTCATTTCCCACCCCTGTACCCAGTCTAACCGTCCTTTGGACTATCAAAACCTTTAAAATGTACTCTTAGCAGATCAAAGTTTCTACCGACGGAAAAAGCTGTGGAGTCACCTCACAGCATGTAACAGGTTGCCCATCTGCCTGTGCTCCCTTGAGGTAGGTCATAAATATCTTGGTGCATGAGGCTCTTCCTTCTGTAGCCAGCAGACATCTCACATAGCCACTTAGTGAGACATGGCTTTGAGGACAGCTTGAATGTATTTTCCCAGATCATGTTCACTCACTTTTCACGAAGCAAAAGAACTTTTGTGGGGATCAGAGAGATGGCTCAGCAGTCATCAGCAGAGTACTGGATGCTCTTACAGAGTTCCCAGCACTCACGTGGCTGCTCACGACCACCTGTAACTCCAGTTCCGAGGATTCTGATTCTTTTCTGTCCTCCCCAGGTTCCACGTGTACATATGTGCAAGCAAAAATGTAACTAAATAAATATTTAAAAAATATCTCTGGGATGTAAAGTGAATGAATAAATTTAATTTTACAAAGGAGAGAAAAAATGAGGGAAGAGAATTAAAAAAAAAAACAACTCAACCAGGCACAGTGGTGCACCCCTTTTATCCCAGAACTCAAGAGGCAGAGGCAGGTGAATCTTTGAGTTCAAGACCAATATGGTCTACAGCGAGACTTCTAGGATGCTGAGGGCTACACAGAGAAACCCTGTCTAGGAAAACCAAACCAACCAACCCATCAAACAAACAAATAAAAACACTTTTTATTCCCTTT